GGCGGGCACCAACGCGGGCACACGCACAGCCCGCAATTATCCCAGCTGCAGAGTGGATGCGCAGCCCGGGCTTTGTTACGCCCAACTTAAATTTGTGTGCGCGCCTCTCTCTTTTTCTCTCTCTATGTGTATACGCGTGTATGCATGTTTATGTGTATATATACATACAGATATAATAAATGCGCACACACAATATAGAAGTGCACATAATACATATGCGCATAAAATATATACACGTTTGCATATAATATATAAATAGATGTGCATAGATGCACATACACATATAAATACGCATACATATATGCACATCTATGTATCAACATATATACATGCACAGGTGCCTATATACACATGTACATATGCATACATGTACCTCCTTATATATTTGTATGCGCATGTCCATATATAAATGTACACATATACATATACAATTGTACCTACATATATACATATTTATATGCACATATACACATGTATCTACATATATACATATGTATGCAGAATACACATGCACATATATAAATGTACCTACATATATACAGTATGCAGAATACTGTATATATATACACACATATATATGCATTATTCTGCATATTATGCATATTATGCATACTGTATATATATACATATATACAGTATGCAGAATACGCCAATATATGTATGCAGAATACACATGCACGTATATACATGTACCTACATATATACAGTATGCAGAATACGCCAATATATGTATGCAGAATACACATGCACGTATATAAATGTACCTACATATATACAGTTATATACACACACACACATATATGCACATATACATATTTATACACACACATATATACATGTACATATATATACATACACACCTCCATATAACTGTACCTACATATAAACACATATATATACACATGTATATATTATATAAAATATAGGCACACACACACACCCCTGTATACAAACCCAGTGTTAGGGGGATTTGTCGCTTCAAACCCGTTGAGCCAGAGCCCGCTGGCTAGAGGTAGGCAGCTGCGGAGCGCTTTGCGGCTCGTGCAGCCCGGGCCCGCGGGTGCGGGGCTGCCTGAGCCCGTGGCCGGGAGAGGGAACCTGGGACGCCCCTCTCGTCCCTTTGTCTGCCCTGCCC